CCTCTACAATAAATCAAAAACTAGCCAGGTGTGGTAGCGTGCGCCTGTAGTTCCAGCTACTTGGAAGGCTGAGGTGGAAGGATCTCCGGAGCCCGGCAGGTCGAGTCTGCGGTGGCCAGGAGTGGCCGCTGCACTCAAGTCTGGGCCACAGAGTGAGACTCCAACTCAAAAAAAAAAAAAGAAAGCTGGCTATTTTGAAATGTAATTTTCAAACTGATCGTGCAGAATAAGTTGTCAGGCTTTTCAGTCTTGCGGACACTCTGACAGGTTGAGGGTTGTGTAAGTCCCTGCTGGAAACGTGTCTGTCCTGATTGTGCTGTGACTGCATATGCTGTCCGTGTGCTTCTCTTCCAGGCCTGCCCTCCTCGCCAGCCGCTGAGCTGTTTGCTGCCGGACCTTTGCCGAGCACCGGGACGCTTCCGCCATCCGCCCTTTCCACTTACCCACATTCTACCACCTTCAGCAATAGAAACTTCGCCACCACCTCACCTTTGGTGCTTCAGGATTCAACTTTTAACACTACGGCAAATGGGATTTTAAACTCTCATGACCCTTTGCTGCAAGCCAAGACTTCCCAGGGAACTGTCCCCGCTGCTTTGGCGTTTGAGCGCCTGGGCAGTTCTGTGTTGAGCAACAGCATACCACCTCAGTCTTCAACGTACCGCTCGGCTCAAGAGTCTGCACCCCACCTTTTACAACCTCAGTTTGGTTTGTTGCCTTCAGCACTTGGGGGAGCCCAGCAAACTCCTCAGGCCTACAGTTCAACTCTCTTTGCGAGTTCTCCTGCTTCCATCGAAAGAGCTCTTCTTCGAGAATGTAGTGTCATTAAACACCATCAGCGGCCTTCAGGTACCCAGTCCGTTCAGGCACAGCTGCCTGGCTCCCAGCACTCCTTACACGGTTACCTGCCAAATGCAAGTGTGGGTGATTTCCAGGAGGCAGCCCGGCAATCACCCTTGTCCTGCAGCCCAGCTGGAGAGTCCACTCAGGTGAGCGGCGGAGGGCTGCCACCAAAGGCCGCCCAGAGCGCGGTGGGGCTTGCTCAGTCTTACTCGTCTGCAGTCCCGTCATCAGGGTACCCTTCTACTGCAAAAGGAAAAGGCTGTTCTGCAGAACAACTACTCACATCAGCCAAGACCCCCAAACCTCAGAGTATAATCCCTCCCGTGCAGACACCAAGCTACTCCAAACCTTTACATCACCAGAGTTCTGTCATCTCGGGCCAAGCACAAATTTATTCTACAGCGCAGCTACCAAGCCTTTTATCAGTTAGTCAGTCACAAAACTATGGCTTAGTACAGCCACATAATGTGCCATCCATTGTTCATTCACAGGTTTATAGGTCCACCAAGGCTGAGAAATTGCCATCCTTATATAAAACATTGACTTTTTCTGGGTCATCTCAGACTATAGCTTCTGAAAATCAGACACTGAGTTTTTCATCGAATCAGCAAGAGGTATTATCTTCAGTTGCAAATGAGAATTACCCTGCTCAGACAAGAGATCTGTCTTCAGTCAGTCAGTCTCAGAGTCACTCATCTGGCCCCCCTCAGGGTCTGTCCCCAGCTAGCCAGACTCAGGCTAGTTACTCATCTCCATCCCAGGGTCTGTCGGTTGTTAGTCCTTCGGAAAGCTATGCTTCAGGGCAGTCCCTGACATTAACGGCCCCTTCTCTTTCTTACTCTTCTGCCTCTCGGGCTCAGAATTTGCCAGATGCTAGCCCAACTCAGAATTATATTTCTATGCATTCTTCCCAAAACGTTCAGACTCAAGCGCCATCATCTCCCCAGTCCCAGAAATTTTTGCCTACTGTCCAGCCATCGTCTTTTACATCCTCTGCTCATTGTCAGACGTTACACAATAACATACCTTCCCCTGACCCAAAGGCCTATGCCGAAAGCAAGCTTGATGCAGATGTGTACACGTCTACAAAGCAAGAAGATAATTTTCCAATGCAAGAGTTACAGGTATTGCAGCCACAAGCATCTCTTGAACCTTCAGCCCAGAGGCTCTCAGACGGGGAAATTAATGCCCAAGACTCAACTTATAAGGTGTCAAAGGCAGATGACAGATATTCTCAGAGTGTAATCCGAAGTAATTCCCGTCTTGAGGATCAAGTTGTTGGGATTGCTCTACAAGGGTCAAAAAAAGAAGAAAGCCTGTCTGGTTCAGTGGCACAGCTCAACCAGCAAATTGGCCAAGTGAATGCTACAGCTACCCTTGATCTTAAGAAGGCAGCTGACTTAATACAAGCTCCCCCAATGAGGTTGAACACTAAAGACCTAAGCCAGCAGCATTCTCTTATACATAAGATGCACGAAGCCAAGGTCCAGGAACAACACGAGCACATCATTAACGTCTCGCCCCAGATTCAGGTTCCAAATCACGCCTTGGGGCATGGCCATCAGGCATCTCTTCCTAATACGCAGGTCCTTCTAGATTCTGCCTGTGATTTACATATTCTTCAGCAGTCAATACTGCAGGCAGGTTTAGGACAAGTAAAGGCGTCTTTACAAGCACAGCGTGTTCAAAGTCCTCAACAGATAGTTCATCCTTTCCTTCAGATGGACGGTCATGTCATTCAGAGCAATGGCGACCATCCTCAGCAGCAACTCCATCCCCAAAGTTCTGAAAGTATGAAAATGGACCTCTCTGCGTCTTCGAAATCTTTACAACATCTTACAACAAAAGGCCATTTTAGTGAAACCAATCAACATGACTCAAAGAATCAGTTTGTTTCTCTTGGATCAATATGTTTCCCAGAGGCCATGCTTCTCAGCGATGAACGAAATATTTTATCAAATGTAGACGATATCTTAGCAGCCACGGCAGCAGCTTGTGGGGTTACACCTGCTGATTTCTCCAAGTCAGCTTCAGATGAAGCCATGCAGGCCGTTGAAGATGCTGACCCGAAATCTCATTTTCCGCAGTCAGTAGGTGTCAGGCACATGACTTCTGATTTTAACGCTGTGACTGCTACAGTGGGAAAACCACAGAACATAAATGGCGTTTCCTTAAATGGAAATCACGTCACCATCAGCCTTTCACCAGTACCTGCCCTTCAGTCGAAAATGGCTCTTGATCAGCAGCACCTCGAGACACCTGGTTCCGGTATGCCAACGAAGGTCACCTCAGCAGCAGGTGGACCAAACCCCGAAGCCCGGGAGCCGAGTTCTGGCCCACTCAAGAAGCAGCCTGCCACCAGTCCTGAATCTGAGGAAGACAGCCAGCTGCCTGTTGATAGTGCGTTAGGTGGTGACAGGAGCCGAGAGCTTGTTTCGAGTAGCAGAAGCCTCAGTGGAGAGAGCGCCGCAGTGGAGAGTGACTTCATCATGGGGAGTGATGATGATGCCGTGTCCGTGAACCCCGCGAGGAGTTCCCTTGCGCTGTTGGCGGTGGCCCAGTCTGGGGATGCTGTCAGCATCAAGACTGAAGAGGAAAACCAAGAGTTAGTGCAGTTTAACCTTCAGAAGAAGAGAGCGAAAGGAAAAGGGCAAGTCAAAGAGGAAGACAGTAGTAACCAGAAGCAGCTGAAGAGACCTGCACAAGGCAAACGCCAGAATCTGAGGGGAGCAGACATCTACTTGCCATATGCTCCTCCTTCCTCAGAGAGCTGCCATGATGGTTATCAGCATCAGGAGAAAATGAGACAGAAGATCAAGGAAGTGGAGGAAAAGCAGCCAGAAGTCAAAACAGGGTTTATTGCTTCTTTCTTAGATTTTCTGAAATCTGGGCCCAAGCAGCAGTTTTCCACTCTTGCTGTGCGAATGCCAAACAGGACTAGACGGCCAGGGACCCAGATGGTCCGTGCATTTTGTCCTCCAGCGCCACCAAAGACCTCATCTGCAACACCCACGCCTTCGGTGTCAGAACCTGGGGGGAACAGTTCGCCAGAAAAAGTGGACAACGAGCCTAAAAGCCTGGACCATATGTCTTCATTTTCTTCTGACGAGGAAGACCCTGGAGCTTGTGGCCGTGACCTTTACAAAAGCATTGCTATGCCTTCAGCCGCTTTGGATGCTACTTCGGATCAGAGGAAGAAGACAGGTGAAGTTTTGAAATTTAGATTCACAGTTACGGCTTTCTTCTGTTATTTTTCTAGCTATAGCCGCCTTTTAAGATTGTTTAGCTTAAAGCAGGTCTACAAATAAATTTGCAGAGCAAAACGTGTGGGTAGGTATCTTGGGGACTTACCTTTAAAAGTTCTCCTGCCTGCAGGAAAGGTCTGGGCTTTTAGGTTGAGTAGTTCTGATTTTTCTTGACTTCTTGCCACAGGCAGCATCATTCATGCAGTGTGCTATGCAGACGTCTCAAATCGGAGCTGTCTTGAGGTGGCTTTCGGATGGGAGCCACTGTACTGGGGTCATGGTGGTTGTATGAGCCTGGCATATTTTCTCGGTTTGCTAATTTTACCTGAAGAGTAATATTACAGTGTCGACTATGGTTATGTCATGTGCAGCAATACATATTAAGCTATTAAGATAACATTTTAAAATTTTGTGCTGGCTCCAGACTACGTACCCAAATTTTGGAAGTATGTGTTTCACTTTGCTCTGTAGTTGGGGGAGCTTTAGAGGAAACATTTTATTTTATTTATTTATTTTGAATGCCATCTTTTTTTTTTTTTTTTTTTTTTTTGAGTGGGAGTCTTACTCTGCCGTCCAGGCTGGAGTGCAGTGGCATGATCACAGACTCGACCTGCTGGGCTCAGGTAATTCTACCTCAGCCTCCCGAGTAGCTGGAACTATAGGCATGCCACCACGCCTGGCTAATTTTTTGTAGACAAGAGGTTTTGCCATGTTGCCAAGGCTGTTCTTAAACTCCTGGGCTCAGGCAGTTCTCTCACCTTGGCCTCCTAAAGTGCTGGGATGACAGGCGTGAGCTATCATGCCCAGCCCGGAAACATTTTTTTTTTTATTTTTTTAGTTGGAGTCTCACTCTGTTGCCCAGACTGGAGTGCAGTGGCCGCTTCCGGGCCACCGCAGCCTCGACCTGCTGGGCTCCGGCGATCCTTCCGCCTCAGCCTTCCAAGTAGCCGGAATTACAGGCATGCGCTACCACGCCCGGCTGATTTTTTGATTTATTGTAGAGATGAGGTCTCGCTGCCCAGGCAGGTCTCGACCCGCGAGCTCAGGCAATTCACTCACCTCAGCCTCCCAGAGGCGCGGGATTACAGGCTGAGCCACCGAGCCCGGCCCCGGAAACATTTTAAGAAGCACTCTTATGTAAACAATTGACAGGTAAGTATTGAAGGTACTATTTTAAGAATATGCCAAGGAAAAATTTAGTTAGACAGTCTAGCCATCACCTTTGTGCCAGGAACTAGCAGCAGTGCTGGGAGATACATAGTGTCATCTTCAGTGTGCCGATGATACAGCCTACAGTAAGTGGATTGTGTAGGTCCATACAGCCAGTACGGGACAGGGCTGGGCTCTGGGTCTGGGTTTGTCTGTTCTGGAGCCCACATTCCTGGTGAGCTCCTCAGTATAACCAGGGTGATGCTTCAAGAGCTAAGCCTGGGCTTGTACTTCTCAGCTTCTCCCGACTTCAGACTGCCTTTAACTACCAAAGTGCTGTGAGACAGCTGATAGCCACACAACCTATTAGCATAAGTATGTCTGATAATAAATTTCTGAGAATTCTCATTTTGTTACGCAGAAAAATTAGTATAATGGAAAGTCAGTCTTAGATTCAAAGACATGACTATGCGTAGCAGACAGTAGGCACTCTTGCTGCCGTCCTGCCCATTGTGCCCTTCACAGTGTGTCTTCTCTTTAATAGATCTACTTTTCTTTTTTTTTTTTTTTTGCTTGCTTTTGAGTTGGAGTCTCATTCTGTCGCCCAGGCTGGAGTGCAGTGGCACGCTCACAGCCACTGCAGCCTCGACCTGCTGGGCTCCGGTGATCCTTCTGCCTCAGCCTTCCAAGTAGCTGGAATTACAGGCGTGTACTACCACTCCCGGATAATTTTTTTGATTTATTGTAGGGATGAGGTCTCGCCAAGTTGCCCAGGTGTATCTTGAACCCACGGGGTCAGGCAATTCACTCAGCCTCCCAAAGCACGGGATTACAGGCTCAGCCCACCGAGCCCGGCCAATATTTTTGATTTATTGTAGAGACAGGGTCTCACCAAGTTGCCCGGGCTGGTCTTGAACCCCTGAGCTCAGGCAGTCCTCTTGCCTCTGCCTCCCAAAGTGCTGAGATGACAGGTGTAAGCCATCACGTCCGGCAGTACCTTTCTTAATTAAAAAAAAAAGGGATTACTATGGATTTGGCTAATCCTAGTAAGTCTTACACCTGTTCCCCCAGTTCACAGAGCTTTGCAATTACTGTTATGTTCCCTCTTACATTCCTAGAGCAAACTTTTTGTAATCTCTGCTCTAAAACTAGTTTCCTCCAGGCAACCATTTTCTCACTTTGAGTAAAATCATTTCTGTCAGCCCAGTCCTTGCCACGGGGTCTCTGAAGCCTTTTCTCTTCACTGTTTCTGTCGCCGTGTGTTCAGGAACCTGTCGAATCTGGCTTGACCTGTTGCAGCAGACTCCAGTAGAGGCTTCCCAGAAGTCTCTCGGCCCATCTGTCCTCCACTGCCATCAGATCTGTCTGTACCACAGAAAAGCTGGTGATCACTTCTGCTTCAGAACACCTCCTCATGCTTCATGGGAAAAAGTAAAAATAATATGTGAAGATTTTCCCTTTTTCACGTTGGTTCTCTTTCCACTGTCCCTATTTTGTGACAACTGAATTCTTCCTTGTTTTACAGTTGTGAGCCTTGGAGCAGATTTTTCTCTACTGAGGCAGCTCTGTTTTCCATTTTTTAGTCCAACAGATATTTAGTTATCCTTCAAGACTGTTTTCAAAGTCATTTCGTGGAAGTTACTCCAGGCACAATTAGAGCTTTTATCCTTTGAATTCCCACAGCCTGTTAATATCTGTGAAAGCGTTTACTCTGTGTTTTAATTTACTCGTTTACATTTGTATATTTTTCGTTAGAGTGTGAGTTCTTTAGGCCAGTGAAGTGTTAGGGTTAAGAATTTAGGCTATGGAATTAAATCACCTTTGGTTCAAATTCTAGTTTGTTTATTTATTTATTTATTTATTTATTTTGAGTTGGAGTCTCACTCTCTTGCCCAGACTGGAGTGCAGTGGCTACTCCCGGCCATCGCAGCCTCAACCTGCTGGGCTCTGGCGAGCCTTCCGCCTCAGCCTTCCAAGTAGCTGGAATTACAGGCATGCGCTACCACACCCGGCTGATTTTTTTTTTTTTTTTTATTTATTGTAGAGATGACGTCTCGCCAAGTTGCCCAGGCGGGTCTCGAACCCGCGGGCTCAGGCAGTCCACTCACCTCAGCCTCCCAAGGCGCGGGATTACAGGCTGAGCCACTGAGCCCGGCTAAATTCTAGTTTAATATCTTTGTGGTGATATGGCTTGTAAAATAGGACAGTGACACAGAATGATCCAGTATGTAGCATGTCTCCCCCCATGATACAGTATGTACTATCGCCTCTCCCTAGGGTTTTTGAGAGGATTCAGAGACATAAAGCACTCTGTACAGACCTGGTTAGTTTCCGTTATTGTTTTACTGCATTCATCTTTGTGTTTCCAAAGCCTGAAACAGCAATTACTTAATAAATGCTTGCTGGATAAATGAGAGTATGTGAAAGAAAAGTAGAACAAGGAGGTGACCATGAGTTAGAGTTGAGTAGCTGGGTTTTGTTCTTTAGTTTGTGACTGGAATTCTGAGTTTTGCATGCATGTCGCGCAGCGTCTAGCAGTTTAAATGAAGTCCCAGGATATGGTGGGCCTTTGGCGCCCCAGATTTCATGATTCCATAGTAAGCAAGCTCAGTCTATAAGCACTTGTGGTGCTTCTGGAACGGAGGCTCTTTGCCCGTTTGACGGACTGCTCTAGCCGTCTAAGCACGTCTGTCTATGCAGGTGTTGCCTCCTGCTTGCTGGCTTTAAATTACTCATGCACCTAAAGGTGTATTCCTTGCTCTAAAATAACAATATTTTCTTTTCTTTTTTTTTTTTTTTGAGTTGGAGTCTCACTCTGTCGCTCAGGCTGGAGTGCGGTAGCACACTCATGGCCACTGCAGCCTCGACCTGCTGAGCTCAGGTGATCCTTCTGCCTCAGCCTTTCAAGTAGCTGGAACTATAGGCACACGCCACCACGCCCGGCTAATTTTGATTTATTGTAGAGATGAGGTCTCGCCAAGGTGCCCAGGCTGATCTCGAACCCGTGGGCTCAGACAATCCTTTCACCTCGGCCTCCCAAATTGCTGGGATTATAGACATGAGCCACTGAGCCCAGCCCAGTAGTGTTTTTTAGTAAAGCTTGTGATGAGATAATTGTCAAGTAAAAAGAACTTACATATTTACTTTCATTATAGAAATTGGATTAAGGAAAAAACTGAAACTTTTTCTGGGATCAATGTTCACTAGATGCTGGGCTCTCTTAGGCAAGAAAGTACCTGTTTCTAATACTCTGGTTTCTGCATTTGCCTTAAAATGACCAGGAGAATATAAAAAGAGAGCAAAATGAAATATAAAAAGAGGAAAATTTGGATCCTGAAACTGGGGATGTTTCTATTTTCACGGGTCCTTACTGCCTTCAAATTGAATTCAAGTGAAATAGTTTTCACATTACTAAAATGTGTCTGAATCCATATTAGATAACTTACTGTTATATATAGCCAGTGGAAGCAGAATGCTAGTCATGCAGTCTGATTACAGTTTGATTTCATTCAAGGTGAGTGGTACATTTTTTCAAAACAGAAGCCAAGCTAAAGAACAGCACCCGGCCCCCCTTCCTTGGTAGCCCCAGGTGGGCAGAGCAAACTTTCGAGGACACACGTGTCAGAGACCCGGATCTCAAGAGCGTAATGACACCAACAGTATTGTTTGTCTGCTCGTCTCTGGATAAAATGCACTTGACTGAAATGTGTTGAAAGCTTAAAGACGTGAAATAATTGTATCAGAGCCCTTGAGTCTGTGTTGTAGAGTGCTTGAAGACCTTTTCTTTTAAAACTTGAAACTTGGATTCCA